TAAGCCAAGACAGAAGGAGAGGTACCAAAACTGTTGAGCAGACAATTTGTCAAGGGATTTATTTCACATGTCTTGTTGACTAGTTGCAATTTGACGTTAAGACTGGCAGGGCTCACTGACGGGGCCAGCGAAATGTCTGGGAATGTACCAAGACGATGGTCCGACTAAAAATTATCATACAAGATGCGTTCCTACAGGTCTTCCTGCCAATATTAGCAAGTTGCGAAAACAGGGCCATCTACTAATAGATAAAAAGCTTTGTTTTTACTTAATACATGTGACCTCTGCTCTCGTGATTCTTCAAGTTACTGCGAAATGTGCAATCACGCCATTCATAGCTCATATATTACAACTTATTTTCTATCTTCTAATATAAAAAGTAAAACTACAAATGATGCTGTTAGAATGTGGTCAAATTAAATTAATATTTATATCGCTTTTTATACACTTTTGTTGGTTGCTTCTAAATTTCCCCTAGATGGACTGTGGATGCGATATAGATTGTAGATCGCTAGCTCTAAAACGTAAAACACTGATTTATTTAGCATGCACTTTAATGTGATTCATAAAGGTGAGATTTTTTGAAACGTACTAAATCCATGGTCCGATGGTGAAAATCATAATGGTTACTACTGAAGCATATTCCGGACAAAGTGCATTCTTCCAGGTCTCTGCTAATAATTTCCTTGTTGGGTTTTTGGTATTTAGATTAAGGCAGCAAAATAGCAATAATTCTCAAACCATTCATAACCCTCATCTTAATTTTAGTGCATTGCTAACATTTCAATTAAATTGCCTTCTTAATTGCACTTCTTTTCTCCATTTTATAGTGCCATTATTTTCATAACCGCAATAATAATCCTATTGAGAATAGTGATTCTATAACCAAAAAGTCATATTAAAATGCACTTCTTGATTACACCTTCCTACTTAGGGAAATAAATGCTCCAGCCGATTCTTACGTGCTCAAAATATCCTAATGATATTCAACACAAATATAATGTGGAAGTTTAGAGTATCTGAATAGTAAACCTAAATTAATAGCATCAAATAGACCCAAAGTCACCTCGCAGAAGTGATTTTGTTTAAGTAACTATGAGAAAATTTATGAAATAATAAGACTGAAATCAAAATGAAGTCTTTTGGTGATATTAGCTTTGCCACAATTCTCCTTGTCTATATTTGAATTTTGGATAGTTGTTCTAGCAAAAGGGCCAGAATAATTCGATAAAAAGACAAGAAATAAGCTAAGCATCCTTTAAGATACTCTTAAAAGTAGATATGGCATAATAATTGTTATATTCTTACAATAGAAAATTAATCCAAATTAAAATATATTAGCAAAAGGGAGCAAATGTAGAGTAACATCGTAAAATGTGACAGGCATTTCAATTGATACTTTTATAAAACAGCAAAGAAATTAAATTGCAGAAGTGGAACTATTTAATGATGCATGATAAAAAGAAATATAATATTTTCCATTAGCATCGCTTTGTCCACTCTAATATAATATTGTATAAGAGAAAAGCATACCAAGATTAATTAAAGGTTATAATGTCAATAAAAAGACAATTTATAAGGTCAAATAAATGTAATGCTAGTTAATGTTTTTAGGTTATGATACTAATAAGTAATAAGTGTGGCCAATTTTAATCTAAATATTACTACAGATTTATTAATTTCACAATTACATGACTAGAAAATTTATCCAAATAAACAGTGATAAGTATGAATGCTCAAATAAGAAGTTATTATTTTCGAAGGTATGAGGACCAAGATGGTGTGGCCTTTTGTGTGGTCGCAGTCTCCTTTCGTTGTATAGAGGTTGTTTGAACTTGTTTCGCAAAATGATCATATTAGTAGGAAGACTTAGAGGAACGCATCTAGTCTGGAGTCCATTGTCTGCATGATCATTTCCAGCATCGTCAGTGAGTATCGCTATTCTTTGCACCATACAACAACTCGTCAAAGAGGCAAGTGAAGCCGATCCTTTGACAAAACATGTGCTAAACAACTGTGGTATCTCGCCTTCTGCCCTGGGTTATTTACGTTTCCGGTAGCATCCTATCATACCTTCACTATTACAATGTTAACGTGTTTATTTAGACATAATGTGGTGTGCTCCTTTGCGCGACATGAAACGTTTACACTCCAAATGTCGTTCTCCCCCCTTCAACCTCGCCAAGGTTGCCTTAAAATCCCCAGCGGGACTTGAACCATGACAATGAAGCGTATGATCTCAACACACTAACAACTACGTCACACTTCCACGAGTGTCTTATTGTGACAGGATAAATGCTAATTTCAAGAAAGGCCAGGTTTTCTGCAAAATCACATTCTGTGGTAGGATTATCGATGAAGTAATAATTATTATAATCGACTATACTACTTACTTTTCGTTTTTAAATAGATTTTCCTCATCTTAAATAAAATAGAGTAAATACATCTCATATATATATACACATATATTGTGAGGTTCAACATGGCCTATCAGCTCGTATGGAAATTTTTATCTCCTCTTCTTGCTTGAACTTTGGCTGATCATTATTCACTTTAAGGATGTATGCATTAATAGAGTTAAATGTAAAATTGAGCCTTCATAAGCATGACAATAAAATGTTTTTTTTTCAATTTTTCACTTAATCTAACACGACAGATAATGTTAATGTATCCTATTGGACTCTAATAATGTGTGATGTTTATGAAGTGTACTTTTCCTTCAGTTAAAAATCATGTGTCGAATATTTATTAATCACTTAATTTCTAAATGAAATTATAATTCATTCTTCACAATAGTGACCGGGAACAAAATCGTCAGGGTAGTTAAGGATGAAAATGAATTATCACTAGCAGATAATTCGGAAAAGTATAAAAATGTCATATAGTATTACTTCATTTGAGAATAATAGACTATAATTTACATTTAAGTTGTTTGATCTTGCTTTCGAAACTTGGTCACATTGACACCTTGTCAAAGAGACAATTAAGGTCAATCCCTCGACCAAATGTGTGCTCAGCATTTGTGCTATCTCTCCTTCAACTACTTAGCACACATTTGGACAGAGATCGACTTCATTTGTCTTTTTGACGAGCTGTAGTGTGGTGCTAAGAATAGTAAAGCTCAATGACGATGCCGTCTAAGATGGAAGTGTAACGTCTCGGAATGTACCAAGTCCACGGTCCAACTGTGGAAAGTATCAAGCCTACTATGAACTCCGGACAAGGTGCTTTCCTCTAGGCCTCCCAGTCAATATGACCAAGTTGCGAGAACAAAGTCAAACAACTTCTATACAACGAAAGAAGACTGCGACCACACAAAAGGTTACACCATCCTGGTCTTTATAAATTCGACTATATTTTACAACTCAGATGACGTCATAAAAATTAATATTTAAATTGGGAGCACACAGTTTGCGCTCTAATGAATTAAATCTTTCAAGAATAACTCGGATTTTACCTTTGCTTTGATACAAAAGGAGGTAAGACGACACATATTTTGTCTTTGGAAGAATAGCATCAATTATGGAGAAAGTAAAATGCAAAAAAAGATGACGCAAAAGTAGAATAGGAGAAAATTCCTGCATTCACTGGTAACTAAATAAAAGTATAGAAACAAGATATAAAGAGAAGATGTATGCATGTATGGTCGCAGTCTATTTTCGATGTATAGAAATGGTCTGATCCGGTCGTGTCATCAGGTCGACCGAGTTGGACCCACCTCGTCCGAAGTCATTGTGAAGAGTATTGTATTTTTCCTTGTGGTCACCCGAACATTCTAGTTTCCTAATATTTGCCATAGTCTTTGAGCTAGTCCGCAGGAAGGTAGGCATCTGCACATTCGTGAATACGAATCCCTCCTTTATTTTTCATAATACACATCCTTCTTTCGGTATTAGCCGTTACTTGTGATGCTGATAGAACTTGAGTATTATTCCGATATATGACGCTTTTCTGTACAATTTCCTCTTGATCATCCCCTTTGTGCAAATCGCTTCAACATTGAGCAGAGGTAACCGCTCTTCTTTCTCTATTGAAGATGATCAAATGCATTTTAATGTGTCACAGAATTGCATTGATTGATTATTTCATCAATCTGGTTTATAAACTTAAGAAATCTCTCAGTCTTTATCTTCCATGTCACCAAAGTAGGCAGTAGGCGTCCAGGCAGCCCATGAGCATATACGGTTGCTGCAGTGGCATCTTGCATTTCCGGCCGTCCTATGGGAAGTCTAAATATTAGTTCATAGCTTTTCGCGTTGAATGTGAAATTGGTAGACTTTATTGTCAATTTGATTAGTTATGTTGGCAACATCCTCCTCATCCTTGCCGCTTCAGCGATATACTCTTCTCGGACGACGAGTTTTGGTCTGGCGCTGAGAATATGCCAACTTCATGGACCAAGGCTTGCACTCATGACAACTACTCGGGAGACTCGTGAGAAGATGCGTGCAAATGCGTTTCACTGACTGCACACGCATTTTGCGATGACGAGACCGCCCACTTGTACAGATCGAAAAGGAACTGCGACCATACCAAAGGCTACACTTTTTTGATCTTCATAGCTTCAATTAAACTGTGCTAGCTGAAATGTTAGCAAATGCCTTCCATACCACCAGAGAAAGAAGACAAACTGAAATAACCATTTTAGAAGACATCTTAATGGAGGTCAGCAATATCTCCTTCGACAAGCCACTTGCGAAGAGACAATTGGAAAGGGAGATGGAGATACTTTCAAGAAGCTTAAAATATGAGGAAGCAAGACACAGGAAACGATTTTCGAGGATAAACTAGACGCATTCAATGAATGAAGCATTAGTTCTTCAAGCGGATAAGGGAGGAAGGATAGTTTTAAGGGACAGAAAGTAATAGAGATAGGAAATGAAATGTATCCTGCGAAACGACATCGTGTATCGTGTCATAAAGAGGGACCCAACTATGAAAATAAATGGAACCCTACATGACATGCTGAAAGATAAGCATAGCAACAGTGAAAATGACGCATGGACGAGGAATTCAATTGTGAGAAAGGATGCACAACCACCAACAGCCTACGGATTGGTGAAGATACACAAACAGGGCGGACCAGAAGAGGATATGCTGGAGGCGGGAAGGAGCAGGAGGGAGTCATTGGCACGGCGAATCAAATGGACAACAAGGACGACCCATTTCACATTCAACGGGAATGCTCATCAACAAATATTTGGACTTCCGATGGGATCGCCGGTTTCACCTCATTTGGTGCTCCTACGCAAGGATTTTTCATGCCCCGAACTTAGCGTCATCTATTATGCTTATTCTAACGCACAAAACCTTTTCTTGAGATTTGTAGAGATTTCAGGTCACTCTTCAATTGCCTACTTATATTATTCATGTAAGTAAAATATGTATTTGGAGTTTATCTGCCATAATAAGAGTGAATAGGACAAATACCAGCTTAATTTTGTATAATTGATAGTACACTATTATCATTTGCATTTATTCTGAATATCAGCGGTTGAAAATCAGAAATTCAGTTATTATTAAACCTCATATGGTGATAAAATTCAAGTTGAACTTTAGATTCATATATTTCTTTTAATTTATTTAGCTTTCTATATATTTTAAAAATTTGAATTTAAGTATTTGAAAATATCTCATTATCGACGAGCTGTGTCTGCTATATTTGAAGATGATAAAATGCATCTAAATGTATGTTTGTAACCGAATTGCATAATGTAAACAACCTCATAATATTTGCTCTATCAAAAATAGAAAATCAGACTATGGAGTCTGCATGGCAAAAAGGCTAATCGAATGCAGATTCTTGACAAATCTAAAGCTTAAGTTGCCCAAAGGACATCAAGTCTACGAAAGTCGACTTGCTTAGATCCCTATTTTATTCTAAACGCTCTTTCAATTAGAGAACTCTTGGCTGTATCAGATTCAATCTAAGGGTTCACACGTCAACTTTGCTTAATATTTTGATCAATTTAACATTCGACATTTTTCTCGAGCCATAAATGAACTAAAGAATGTACAGTTATACCTACATACATACATAAATACATGCATATATACATACATATATATATATATAGACATACAGTAAACTTGTAGGCAATATTTCAAGATGACTGGTTATTCATTATTCATTTGCAAAACTCATTTTCATTGATTTTAAAAATCATTTTTTTAGCCACTTTTCTAAGCCATTTTTATATTTATTTTAGACAGTAACTAGCAGGTCCTTACATTTAAAAATTTGCATGGCAGAATGTTATATTTCTCAATATGACACAATAATATTACTGACTATATGACTCAGTGGAGTGATACAATTAACGTTAAAATCCTGGATTAGGTAATCTCAGCCAAGTCTTTTTTACAAAGGATCTTAAGTGATTTTGTCTTTGTTAGGGGGACCTTCATTTCGAATGAAAGTGCATGAGGCGGGGTAAACTCGTTGTACTGCAGCCGTTCGGCTTTTATATGATATTCATCTTGACGCAGACACAAGTCTTCCTCCCTCGTTTCGGGTGAAAACGTGCTGACCTTTCGTCCATCATATGATGACATCATCAGAGCTGGGTTTCATTCTTGTAAGAGTCTCACGTTAACACTAAAGCAAGAACACCATCCGGCTCTATCTTACTTCTTGCTTTAGTGTTAACGTGAGACTCTTACAAGAATAAAACCCAGCTCTGATGATGTCCATCATATGATGGACGAAAGCTCAGCACGTTTTCACCCGAAACGAGGGAGGAATACTCGTGTCTGCGTCAAGATGAATATCATATAAAAGCCGAACGGCTGCAGTACAACGATTTTAACCCGCCTCATCTGGTGAGATCGACAAACGAATCACTTCCTCATGCACTTTCATTCGAAATAAAGGTCCCCCTAACAATTTTATCTAAGAAGATTTATCGAAACCAAGTTTCTCTTCGTATCTACATATTTTGTCTTTATTAAACTCAAACCTTTACAATATTTGTGTTATTAAGTTTTCAACAGGCGTCAGATTAAGAAAGTGCTGTTTCGTTAACTTTCAGAAATATCTTTAGTTCTCAAACCTACAAAACGCCAATTAAAATATGACAAAAATCAAGAAAGAATTTATGGCAGTCCAATTGGGCTTAATTATTATTTTATGAGGATGTTTAAATTATGCAATGCGGTTACAAAAATGTATTTAGATGCATTTGATCATTTTCTAATATAGCATACACAGCTCTTCGATAATGAGATATTTTCAAATAACTTAAATTCCTACTTTGCAATATATAAATAAAGTTAAACTTATTAAACGAAATATATAAAACCAAAGTTCCATTTGGATTTCATTGCCATATGAGCATTAATTATAACTCAAATGTTGATTTTTAATCGCTGATATTCTAAATAGATGCAAATATTAATAGTGTACTATCAATGATACAAAATTAAGCTGATATCTGTCTCTTTACTCTTATTATGGCAGATAAACTTCTAATACATATTTTACTTACCTGAATAATATAAGTACGTTATTAAAGAGTGACTTGTCATCTGTAAAAGTTTCAAGAAAAAGTATTGTGAAAGATTTCATGCAAGTTCATTCTGTCTTATAGAGTCAAATCCTTTAACAATCAAGATGAGTGCGTTAGAATAAGTAAAACAGATTAATTTAAGTTCAAGGAATTCATTTACAAGCTTATAAAAATTTCGAATTGTATGAGGATTATTTTATATAATTAAAACTAGACTTGCAAATTACAGGAGTTATATATCCAAGACTTTGTAAGATTTTAAATGCCCCATATCTTTAGTCTAATGCAAAAACTCTATCTAAATATATTTATAAATATATATATTTATATTCCATCGGAAGTTCAAATATTTGTTCATTTTTGCCCCCTTTGAATTTGAAATGTGTTGCAAATTTATTATATATCACGTTTTCTGAACAATTTAAATAACATTGATAATTGATATTCTTAGCTTTATTTTTGATATATTGATTTATTGCAAAATATTTAATATCATTGTGAATATTGTACACAATGTTTTGACATCTTTAATATATTTCGTATGAATACAAAATATAAGCTCATTAAGAATAAATATCATCCATAATAATAAGTATAAGCTATAAAGAAAAAAGTTTTATTTTCTAAATATATTTTAAAGAATTATTCTTTTTCCCAATTTTT